TTTGGATTTATTTCTGGGTTCTACATTCTGTTCCACTGATCCATGTTTCTACTTTTAAGCCAGTGTCACAATCTTTTTATTTATTTATTTCCCCCCATTTACCCTTTCTTCCCCATTCCCAAGCCCCTCCTGCCTTCCCCACACTATTGTTTCTGCCCATTGGTTATGCATGTAAGCATATAATTTCTTTGGTTTATTTCTTCCCTCCACACCCCCATCCCCCTTCCCTCTGAGGTTTGTCAGTCTGTTCCCTACTTCCATGTCTCTGGATCTATTTTGATCATCAACTTATTTTGTTCACCATATTCATAAAATAAGAGCAATCATGTGGTACTTGTCGTTCTCTGACTGGCTTTTTCCACTTAGCATAATTCCCTAGATGTCATCTCAAAGGGTAAGAGATCGTTCTTTCTTACAGCTGCATAGTATTCCATTGTGTAAATATATACCACAGCTTTTTTATCCACTCGTCTACTGATGGACACTTGGGCTGTTTCCAGATCTTAGCCATTGTAGTGCTGCTATTAACACAGTGGTGCATATATTCTTTCTGTTGGTGTTTCAGACCGGCCCTTTCCTCTGGCCATAATCACATTGTTTTCTGTGACTAAGGGTTATGCATATATGTTCTGTGGCTAACCCCTTCACCTTCTTTCACCCAGTAGCCCTGCCCTCAAAAACACAAATTAAAATTGCCAGAGAATATTCTTTTTTTATTTTTATAGCATTTATCACCTTTTAACATATAATTAACTTCTATTTATTATCTATCCCCACAAGAATGTAGGCTCATTAAAGCAGCAAAACCCCCATATAACATACCTCCCATTAAGTGCCTAGAATAGCATGCAACTCATAAGCACTCAGTAAATGTGTTGAAAAATTTGAAAAAATTTGTCATAAAATGATATCTGAGTATACCTCAATCTTTAAGGCTTCCTAGATTGAAAAATATTGGCATGGAGGGAAAAGCTTTGGCTTAGGAGTCAGAGAGACCTGAGTTTGAATAATCTATTGCCTCTTATTCTGCTCACAAGCTGCATGACGTGGTTCAATAACTTAAATTCAAGGCCTCTGTTTTATTTTTTATCTTTTTTAAAATTAATTAATTAATTTTAGTTATAAATGTTTCTTTTTCCCACACATATTCTCCCCTCCTCTCCCTCCCTGCCCTGTCTCCAGCTTTGTTGTCCATGTCCATTGTTCATGCATATAAGTTCTGTGGTTTATCTCTCCCCCACCACCCCTTCTTCTGCGAATTGTCGGTCTGTACCCCACTTCCACGTCTCTGGGACTACCCCATTCCTCAGACTGTTATGTTCATTATACTCCACAAATAAGTGACATCATATGATACTTGTCTTTCACTGTTTGGCTTGTTTCACTTAGGATGATACTTTCCAGGTCCCTCCATGTAGTCTCAAAGGATAAGAGATCTTTCTTTCTTACAGCTGCGTAGTACTCAATTGTGTATATGTACCACAGCTTTTTTATCCATTCATCTACTGTGGACTTTTGGGCTGTTTCCAGATCTTAGCTATTCTAAATAGTGCTGCTACAAACATGGGGGTACATATATTCTTTCTGATTGGTGTTTCAGGCTTCTTAGGGTATATTCCTAGAAGTGGGATCACTGAGTCAAATGGAAGTCAATTTTTAATTTTTTGAGGTAACACCATATTGTTTTTCATAGTGGCAGCACCAGTCTGCATTCCCACCAGCAGTGTACTAGAGCCCCCTTTTCTCCACACCCTCGCCAGCACTTGTTTGATGATTTATTGATGGCGGCCATTCTGACAGGTGTGAGGTGATACCTCATTGTTGTTTTAATTTGCATCTCTCTGATGATTAGTGATGTTGAGCATTTCTTCATATGTTTCTTAGCCATTTGTATGTCCTGTTTGGAGAGGTGTCTATTTAGTTCCTCTGCCCATTTTTTCTTTTTTAACTTTCTTATGTTTATTGGTCAACTGGATATTATTATTATTATTTTTTTATTTTATTTTATGAATTTTTATTTATTTTTTTGTTACAGATATTTTACCTTTTTACCCCATTGGCACCCCCCACCCCCCACCACGTCCCCTGCTTAGTTGTCCATGTCCATTGGTCATGCATACATGCATATAAGTTCTGTGGTTTATCTCTTCCCACCCCCCCACCCCCTCACCCCGTCTTCTGAGGGATGTCAGTCTGTGCCCTACTTCCATGTGTCTGGGTCTACTGTATTCCTCAGACTGTTATGTTCATTATATTCCGTATATAAGTGAGATCATGTGGTATTTGTCTTTTTCTGCTTGGCTTCTTTCACTTAGGATAATACTTTCCAGGTCCCTCCATGTCGTCTCAAAGGATAAGAGATCTTTCTTTCTTACCGCTGCATAGTACTCCATTGTGTATATGTACCACAGATTTTTATCCATTCGTCTACTGGTGGACACTTGGGCTGTTTCCAGATCTTAGCTATTGTAAATAGTGCTGCTATGAACATGGGGGTACATATATTCTTTCTGATTGGTGTTTCAGGCTTCTTAGGGTATATTCCTAGCAGTGGGATCACTGGGTCAAATGGAAGTTCAATTTTTAATCTTTTGGGGTAGCACCATATTGTTTTCCACAGCGGCTGCACCAGTCTGCATTCCCACCAGCAGTGTATTAGAGTCCCCTTTTCTCCACACCCTCGCCAACACTTGTTGTTTGATGATTTGTTGATGGCGGCCATTCTGACAGGTGTGAGGTGATACCTCATTGTTGTTTTAATTTGCATCTCTCTGATGATTAGTGATGTTGAGCATTTCTTCATATGTCTCTTGGCCATTTGTATGTCCTGTTTCCTCTGCCCATTTTTTAAATTGGGTTCTTTGTCTTCCTTTTGTGGAGTTGTATGAGCACTCTATATGTATTGGAAATTAACCCCTTATCTGATATATCATTGGCAATTATGCTTTCCCATATAGTGAGTAGCTTTTCTGTTTTGATGATTGTATATTTCAATGTGCAGCAGCTTTTGAGTTTGATGTAGTCCCATGTGTTCATTTTCTCCTTTGTTTCTATTGCCTTAGGTGATGTATCAGTGAGAATTCTGCTGTATATGATGTCTGAAATTTTGTTGCCTACATTTTCTTCTAGGAATTTTATGGATTCATAAGTCATATTAAAGTCTTTTATCCATTTTGAGTTTATTCTCGTGTAGGGTGTAAGTTGATGGTCTAGTTTCATTTTTCTGCAAGTAGCTGTCCAATTTTCCCATCACCATTTATTAAAGAGGCTGTCCTTACTCCACTGTATGCTCTTGCCACCTTTGTCAAATATTAATTGAGCATATTGCCTTGGGTCCATTTCTGGGTTCTCTGTTCTGTTCCACTGGTCTATATGCCTGTTCTTGTGCCAGTACCAGGCTGTTTTGATTACAGTGTCTTTGTAGTATAACCTGAAATCTGGTAATGTGATCCCTCCAATTTTGTTCTTCCTTTTCAAGATTACTGTGGCTATTCGAGGCCTTTTTTGGTTCCATATGAACTTGTGAAATAATTGTTCTAATTTTGTGAATTATGCCATTGGTATTTTGATGGGGATTGCGTTGAATCTATAGACATTTAATGATGTTAATTCTCCCAATCCATGAACAGGGTAGGTGCTTCCACTTTTTTTATCTTCCTCTATTTCTTTTTTCAATGACCTGTAGTTTTCTGCGAATAGGTCCTTTATTTCTTTGGTTAGGTTTATTCCTAGGTTTCTTAATTTTTTTGCCACAATGGTAAATGGGATTGTTTTCTTAGTTTCTTTTCCTGTGAGTTCATCATTGGTGTATAAGAATGCCATAGATTTCTTGACGTTAATTTTGTATCCTGCTACTTTGCCAAATTCATTTATTAAGTCTAGTAAACTTTTGATGGAGTCTTTGGGGTTTTCTACACATAGTATCAAGTCATCTGCAAATAATGGCAGTTTTACTTCCTCCTTTCCAATTTGGATCCCTTTTATTTTTTCTTCCTGTCTGATTGCTGTGGCTAAGACTTCCAGTACTATGTTAAATAAGAGTGGCGAAAGTGGGCATCCTTGCCTTGTTCCTGTTACTAAGGGAAATGCTTTTAGTTTTTGCCCTTTGACTGTGATGTTGGCTGTAGGTCTTTCATAGATGGCCTTTATTATGTCTAGATATGATCCCTCTATTCCCACACTGCTGAGCGTTTTTATGAGAAATGGATGCTGGATTTTGTCGAAGGTTTTTTCGGCATCTATTGATATGATCATGTGGTTTTTATTCTTCATTTTATTTATGTGGTGTATCACATTTATTGATTTGTGAATATTGTACCAGCCTGGCATCCCTGGGATGAATCCCACTAGGTCATGGTGGATAATTTTTTTGGTGTATTGATGGATCCGATTTGGTAGTATTTTGTTCAGGATTTTTGCATCTATGTTCATCAGGGATATTGGCCTGTAGTTTTCTTTCTTTGTAGTGTATTTTTCTGGTTTTGGAATTAGAATTATGCTGGCTTCAAAAAAGAGTTTGGAAGTCTTACTTCTTCTTGAATTTTTTGAAATAGTTTGAGGAGAATGGGTGTTAGTTCTTCTTTCAATGTTTAGTAAAACTCCCCCGTGAAGCCCTATGGGCCTGGGCTTTTGTTTGCTGGGAGAGTCTTGATTACATCTTCAATTTCTTCTGTTGTTATTGGTCTGTTCAAGTTTTCTATCTCTTTCCTGTCCCGTTTTGGGAGACTGTGTGTTTCTAGAAATTTGTCCATTTCGCTTACATTGTCGAATTTGTTGCCATATAATTGTTCATAGTTGTTAATGATCTTTTGTATTTCTGTGGTGTCAGTTGTTACCTCTCCTCTTTCATTTCTGATTTTGTTTATTTGGGTTCTTTCTCTTTGTTTCTTGGTGAGTCTAGCTAAAGGTCCATCAATCTTGTTTATATTTTCGAAAAACCAGCTCTTTGTTTCATTGATTCTTTGAATTGTTTTTTTGGTCTCCATGTCATTTATTTCCGCTCTGATCTTTACTACTTCCTTCCTTCTACTTGCTCTGGGGTTTTCTTTTTGTTTGCTCTCTAGTTCTTTCAGTTGTGAGGTTAGATAATCTATTAGAGATTTTTCTTGTTTTTTGAGGTCGGCCTGTAGTGCTATTAACTTCCCTCTCAGAACTGCTTTTGCTGCATTCCATAGATTTTGTGTTGTTGTGTCTTCATTTTCATTGGTTTCCAGGAAGTTTTTGATTTCTTCCTTGATCTCCTCTGTATCCCATTTATTGTTCAATAACATGCTATTTAGCTTCCATGGTTTCACATGTCTTTGTGTGTTCGTGTTGCAATTGATTTCTAGTTTCATGCCATTGTGATCTGAGAAGATGCTTGATATGATTTCAATCTTCCTGAACTTGTAGTGACTTAGTTTGTGCCCTAACATGTGGTCTATCTTTGAGAATGTCCCATGTGCACTTGAGAAGAATGTGAATTCTGTAGTTTTGGGGTGTAATTCTCTGTAGATATCTACTAAATCCTTTTGGTCTAGTGCTTCATTTAGAGTCTCTGTTTCTTTGCTAATTTTTTGTCTAGAGGTTCTATCCAGTGATGTCAGTGGGGTGTTGAAGTCTCCTGCTATGATTGTATTGCTATCGATTTCTCCTTTGAAGTCCTCCAGAAGATTTTTAATATATTTTGTTGTTCCTATATTGGGTGCATATATGTTTATCAAGGTTAATCTTCCTGTTGGATAGATCCTTTCAATATTATGTAGTGGCCTTCTTTGTCTCTAGTTATGGCCTTCATTCAGAAATCTATTTTATTAGATATGAGTATTGCTACCCCAGCTTTTTTTTCTTTTCCGTTTGCTTGGAAGATTTTTTTCCATCCCTTTACTTCAATCTATGTGAGTCTTTTGCTGTGATGTGGGTTTCTTGCAAACAACATATAGATGAGTCATGCTTTCTTATCCAATCAGCTACTCTGTTTCTTTTTATGGGAGCATTCAATCCATTTACATTTAAAGTGATTATTGATATGTACTTATTTATTGCCATTTTTGTTTAGTGTGGTTCTATTTTTCTTCCCATTTCTCCAGGTAATTACAGCAGTCCTTTTAACATTTCTTGCAGTGCTGGTTTGGTGCTAATGTATTCCCTTAGCCTTTTTTTTGGTCTGGGAAGCTCTTTATTTGACCTTCTATTTTGAATGATAGCCTTGCTGGGTAGAGTAGTCTTGGATTCAGATCCTTGTTTTTCATGACTTTGATTACTTCATGCCATTCCCTTCTGGCCTGTAGTGTTTCTTGTGAGAAATCCGCTGAGAGTCTTAAGGGGTTTCCCTCAACATCATGACTCTAAATTCTAGTTCTCTTTACTTGCTTAACTGCACCTCATGTATCTCATCTTCCGTAGAGGTCTCTTGTTCTTTCATTTGGCTTTTGTTTCTGTTTTTCACCATTTTGGCTATCACAGTGGGCTTTGGAGTCTGCCAAACTTTCCCTGTGGATGTTGGTGTTCTGCTGTTTGTGGCTCCCTCTCCTGGGTTTGGATGAGCCAGGGAGGAGCCACTTTAAACACCACTGTCAAGTCTTAGCTTTTCTGTTTAGTGTTGCTAGCCCAGGGAATGGTAGTTATTCTCTAGCTATTTTTTTGCCTGGCAGCAATTAGTAGAGTTCACCTGAAGAACCTTGGTTTCTGAGTTGCCTGAAAAACTCCCTCAGGTGCTCAGTGTAAGAGGATGGGGCAGCTGCTGGTTGTTAATGTGCCTCAATTAGCATTTTAATGGCCACCAGGTGGGGTTGAATCTCTGAGTGAGGGGCCTCTGCCTCTCCCCAGGGCCCTGGGAAGGAGTAAAATGACCACAGTCCTGCGTAGCTGCACTCAGCAAAAGCTCTTAGCACCCTCCAAAACCCAAGTGTCCCCACACATTTCCAGTCCTGTCTGCCTTCCCTCTGCCAGAGCCCAAGGTGAGTGGCTGTTGCCAATTGAGCCTCTGTCTAGACTCTGCGTCATGGAGCCGCCTGAGTCTTTTACCCCGAGGGCGCTGCTTCCAGCCAAGGGCGGCCATGGCTTTGGCACCAGCCGAGGGCGTTGCACTCAGCAGAAGCCCCAGGACTAAGCCGCGGTAGTGGGACACTACTAAGGTGGCAGCAGCTTCCAGCAGAGTCCCCGGGTCCCAGCGATTCATGCGGCAGCAGCCGAGGGCTTAGCACGCAGAGTTTACAGTACTCAGCAGGGGTTGCAGCCGAGGCGGCAGCAGCCTCCCGCTGAGTCCCCTGGTCCCAGTCCAGGCCGCAGTGGACCGTGGGCTTCCAGCCCCATCTCGTGTCCTCTCAAGCCTACCAGGATTGAATCGGTGTCCCTGGTTATGTGGTCCTCCAAGGTGTCTTTCGGTTGCCCCTTCCTGACAATTTATTTTCGTTGTAAATCCAGTTTGGTCCTGAGATGTGGTCTGTGTAGCTTCCATTCACTCCGCTGCCATTTTTTTAGTCCCCTTCACTTTCAATCTATGAGTCTTTTGTTGTGAGGTGGGTCTCTTGTAAACAACATATAGATGAGTCATGCTTTCTTATCCAATCAGCTACTCTGTGTCTTTTTATGGGAGCATTCAATCCATTTACATTTAAGGTGATTATTGATATGTACTTACTTATTGCCATTTTTGTTTAGTGTGGTTCTATTTTTCTTCCCATTTCTACTGCTAATTACAGCAGTCATTTTAACATTTCTTGCAGTGCTGGTTTGGTGCTAATGTATTCCCTTAGCCTTTTTTTGTCTGGGAAGCTCTTTATTTGACCTTCCATTTTGAATGATAGCCTTGCTGGGTAGAGTAGTCTTGGATTCAGATCCTTGTTTTTCGTGACCTTGATTACTTCATGGCCTGTAGTGTTTCTTGTGAGAAGTTAGCTGAGAGCCTTATGGGGGTTCCTTTGTAGGTAACCTGTTGCTTCTCTCTTGCTGCTTTTAGGATTCTCTCTGTCTTGAATTTTTGGCACTTTGATTAGTATGTGTCTTGGTGTGGGTTTGTTTGGGTTCTTCTTACTTGGGGTTCTCTGTGCTTCTTGAACTTGAATACCTTCTTCCTTTACCAAATTAGGGAAGTTTTCTGTCACTACTTCTGTGAATATATTCTCTAACCGTTGCTCATTTTCTTCGTCTTCGGGGACTCCTATGATGCGAATGTTATTACGTTTCCAGTTGTCCCACAGTTCTCTTAATCTGTTTTCCTGTTCTTTAATTATTTTTTCCTCTTGGTTTTCTGATTGGTTGATTTTTTCTACCCTATCTTCTAATTCACTGACCCGGTCCTCAGCTTCCTCTACTCTGCTATGTAGACTTTCCAATGTGTTTTTTATTTCTGATATGTCATTCTTCACTACTTCTTGGTGGTTTGTAATTTCCAACTGGTTGATTTTCAACATTTCTATGTCTTTACTCATGATGCTCATGTCCTTATACATGCTGTTGAGCTTCCTCAAGATCATGGCTCTAAATTCTAGTTCTGTTAACTTGCTTAACTGCACCTCATTTATCTCATCTTCCGTAGAGGTCTCTTGTTCTTTCATTTGGCTTTTGTTTCTGTTTTTCACCATTTTGGCTATCACAGTGGGCTTTGGAGTCTGCCAAACTTTCCCTGTGGATGTTGGTGTTCTGCTGTTTGTGGCTCCCTCTCCTGGGTTTGGATGAGGCAGTAAGGACCCATTTTAAACACTACTGTCAAGTGTTAACCTTCCTGGTTAAAGTTGCTAGTCCAGGGAATGGTATTTATCCTCTAGCTTTTTTGCCTCAAGGCTATTAGTAGCGGTCGGGTCACCTGAAAAACCTTGGTTTCTGAGTTGCCTGAAAAACTCCCTCAGGTGCTCAGTGTAAGAGGATTTCCCAAGGGTGGGGCAGATGCTGGTTGTTAATGGGCCTCAATTAGCATTTCAATGGTTACCAGGTGTGGTTGAATCTCCGAGAGAGGGGCCATCGCCTTTCCCCAGGGCCCTGGGAAGGAGTAGATGACCACAGTCCTGCGTGGCTGCAATCAGCAAAAGCTCTGAGCACCCTCCAAATCCCGAGTGTCCCCACACATTTCCAGTCCAGTCTGCCTTCCCTCTGCCAGAGTCCAAGGTGAGTGGCTGCTGCCAATTTAGCCTCTGTCCGGGTTCTGCACTGTGGAGCCCCCTGGGACTTTAACCTGAGGGTGCTGCTCCCACCTAAGTGTGGCGGAGGCTGCGGCAGCTCCCAGCCGAGGTTGCAGGACCCAGCCGAGGGCGCAACTTCCAGCTGAGGCCACTGGTCCCAGCCGAGGGTGTGGCACCCTGCTGAGGCAGCCAAAGGTCCCAGCTGAGGCCACAGGACCCAGCCGAGTCTGCTGCGGACCGTGGGCTCCCAGCCCTCTCTCGCGTCCTCACAAGCCTACCAGGATTGAGTCAGTGTCCCTGGTTATGAGGTCCTCCAAGCTGCCTTTCGGTTGCCCCTTCCTTACCATTTGTCTTTATTTTCGTTGTAATTCTATTTTGGTCTTGGGAGATGGTCTGTGTAGCTTCCATTCACTCCGCTACCATTTTTTTCCCTCTTTTTTAAAAAAATAAAATATAAAGTCTGTTAAAAATGAGAAAAATGTCTAGTACATAAAATATCAGCATATATGAAGATGATCATTATTAGTATTAGAGATGTCATAGAACAATATTTAATCAAATAAGCTATACTTTTATATTTTTCCCTTCCTTAATTTATCTTATTCATAGAAAGATAAGATTCATAAAATTCATAAAAATAAATTAATAAATGGAATAAATGAAAAGGTAAAAATAGGATGCAAAACTTCCAGTAAAACAACAGTATGAAAATACTGGAAAATGGTTTCATAATCATTTGTCAGATTTTGAAAGAGCTTGGCAATAATAGGGCTGCAAAATAAGCCAATTTATATTTTCTTATAAATAAGAAGAAAAATAGATGGATACAAGAAATAAAATAAAGATCAATTTGTGACCCCAGCTGCCCATGAGTGGGTTTTCTCTCTCAGCATTCAGTACTCTATCTTCCCAC